TAGCATAGCATAACAGAGCGAATTGTATGTTAATTCAATAGTAATAATCTACACATAACCATAGCTGTCAGTGTGGTATGTTTATGTCATACCATCAGATGATAATGTACGTAATCGCGCCCACGACTACGCACAGAATACCTCCCAAACATGTCTGCGTATAGATTATGTGACACCAGACATACAAGCAGTTTCGCACAAATATAAACTTATATCATGAAAACATCCCGACATCCGAGTCATTGGTCGACTTGGCTCCAAGCCACCGCAGATACACCACACGATGAGTAATCATATCTCGTAGTACCGGGTCAATGATTAGTTCATCTAGAATCCAGAACCTACCTTGAAGCGCTTGTCCTGTAGTACTTTCTTGATAGCTACGGTTTCGTTTGTTTTGACTAGGCGAGCTTGGAACACCACACCGAACGAGCCATTTCCCACGACATTAGGCTCTGTGTATTGGACTTCCTTGCTATCGCCGCCGGGTGTGGTCGCGACTACGGTCGTGATCTTAGCCCCATCCTTTTCTGCTTGAAGATGTGAGGGTGCATGGACCATGAAACTATGAATCACCGGTTTGAACCGCTTGGCCTGTGTACCAGTGCAGCTACGAGTGAATTCAATCCACATTAGTACTATGCACGTGAATATAAGGCACATAGTTGACATTCACCGACGGGGAAAGTCAGTGAAACGGATTCACTATAAAAACAAATTGAAGTGTGTAGATATGTCTATATAACAACGACACCCGTGGCTTACCACAGCCACACACATAACTACACACGTGGATCACTGTACTATGCATTCAATTGGACAAGCGCAGAGCATGGTACACATACAGGTACATATATACACCCGCCGATAAGTTAGCAACTATTCTGTCAGGTACGTATGCTACAATTCATCTGTGCATCTCAACCATCACCGCACATTATGAACTAACACGGTTAAAACCTCACTTCTTCCGGGACATCTCAACATACGGGATACGCGCATGCCGTCAGACACATCGTTAGAGCCATTAGAATCGCTCGCCACAGATGTGGTTCGTCGTCTCTCGTTGGCTTCCACTTTCAAACTCTATTAGACATACAGAAGAAGTCACCAAAGAAAAAGAAAAATCGGGATTGGTTTGTAAGTCACTCGATAGACGAACCGTGTTCTAGCCGAGAGCATGGTTGTAGTGAATGTACGGGTTCTTTGATAATTTTGCGAGCGTTTACACACGACATCACTACATTATACTCTCAAGCCAATCGACCGGTGCAGCTTCACGGGGTACCCATAACTCGCTAGAGGCAGCTTAATAACCGACTACTTGGTATGTCATGGTGATGCCAACAACACTGCATGATTGCCTAATAAATCAAAAGATTAGATGCGTTGCTGTATTGTTGGCACGCTTCAATTTTTTGGATACCGATATGTTATTAATGCAGCATAAAGCTAGTTCATCCCAGCGAACTGCCGAATTGCTATACATACGTGTGTATGATATAACAAGGCATTGCATTCCAAAATTAAAATGGTTGATTTCATATACGATAATGCACACGTGCACTGATGTCTTCGATCCATATCTTACTGGTGCATATATTATGATAATCACATGTAC